GGGGCTGCTGTCCGCCCCGAGCCTCTGCAGCCCGGCACAGCGTCGGGCGGGGTCTGAGAGGGCGCTGGACGGGGTCCTTGTTTAGACGTTGGAGGGTCTGAAAGCGGCTGGGCTCTTCGCACCCGCTCGCCGGCTTGTCCGTCGTGCCCTTTACTCCTGCTTGGGGAGGGAGGGCTGGGCGCTGGCCTGGGTCTGTTTTCCAGCCTACCTGGCCCTGAGGCGGTGTCATTGAGACCCCTTTCTGTCACCTTTCCTGGGAGGGGCCGTGTCCGGGTTCGAGAAGCCTCAGGCAAGGGGGAACGAGGCCTGGGGGGAAACTTGCCTCCCTCCCTATCTCCCCTCCTCCAGGTAGGGGCAGAACCAGGTCAGGCCTGGACTTGTAGCCCACAGAGGATGCGGGTGAGGCTGGACACAGCTCAGAGGGGCTGGTGCCCTGGTGGCCCTGTGTACTGGGTCTCCCAGGGCCTAGTTCTGTGTGCGTCTGTCCCACCCGGGTTGGTCCTGGGGGCTGGGACACCTCCCTGGCCAGGATGCTGGGGACAGCCTGGGGCAGGAGGGAAAGCAGAACCCTCAGAAGGAAGGGCAGCGTTGGAGCAGGGCTTGCTCGGAGCCTTTCCCGAGGGGTCCCCCACAGAAGACCTCTGTAGTCTCCTGGGCTGCTGCGGGCCCTGTGCGCGGGGTGGACGGCTGTGTCTTCCAGACGCCCTGTGTGGTGTTGGGGACTTGAACCCTAGGTGCCACTCCTCAGAGGGCAGGGGTCTCCCACCCTCCAAGGAGGGAATGTAATTAACGCTCCTTAGCACGCTGGGACCCGGGGGGGAAGCCACGCAGGAGAGAGTGTTCCTTGTCAATTGCAGGGCTCAGGGCTTCGCTTTCTGGCTGGAATAAATGCTTCTCAGGTGCAGGTGCTTTGCTCCCGGCCTGCGTGGGACCCAGGTCTCCCCCCCGGACCTGAACCAGGTGGAACTGGGGTAGGGGAAGATTAAAGGAAGGGGGCACGGACAGACCAGGGGCTGTGAGGAGGCACCACACCAGCGGAGTACAGGGAACGGGGCAGGGGAGCACACTCTCGGAAGGGTGTGGCGGCAGTGACCAGCAGGGCAAATGGGATGGGAGCCAGACTCCCCTGGGCGCCCGTAGAGTGCAGTGTGCAAGCCGCCAGTCCTGTCCCCTCCTCAATCGGGTCTGTCCAGATGCGGCAGGGAGCTAGGAGCCACAAAGAGCCCTTGGCCCGGGAGGACCAGGTGGCCTTGAGGATCGGGGTCTCCACAGACCCCTGGGCAGCCCTGGGACCAAGGCAGCAGCCTCTCTTATTAGAGCTGGAGGTCAGTGGGTCACATTTGACCCTGTCCCCAAGGTCTTTCCCTCTCTGCTTGCCAGCAGAAGGTCCTGTGCGGGAGAGGGTGCTTGCTGGAGGGGAGAGGACGCCACCTGTCCCCTCGAAGGACCCTTTCAATCCCAGAGAGCTCAACCACCTGCACGTCCCCAAAGCCTCACCCTTGGGGTTTCCTAGAGCACTGATTGTTTCCTGTGCTCCGTGCCAGGCCCATAGGACAGGAAGTGATGGAGGAAAGCAGGCGTGCAACCATGTGTGACTGTGGGTGACGACACTGGATGTGTGAGAGGCCAGAGCGGGACAGTGTGAGGGTACATGGTGTGGGAGAGGAGCCCCGTGTGTGACCGCCTGCGAGGCTGGACGCGGGCATGAGAGCGCCGTCTGTGACTGTGACACCTGTGTGTGTGCCTGCTGGGTAAGTTCAGAGGAGCCTCGTGTGTGTCCTTCTGGGTGTGTTGGTGAGAAATTGCCTGGTGACAGTCCATGTGAGGGTATCACACTGTCCATGTCTGTGAAGGCACCTTCTGCCTGACCACCCATGTGCCTGCGGGGGACACGGTGACTGTGTGACACTGACTATCAGAGGCAGAACGAGCGACAGCTGTAACACGTGGGGCCATGGCGTGACAATTCCTGATGTGTGCGTGAAACCATTTGTGAGGTGACCTCGGGTCTGACTCTGTGACACCGGGTGTGACTCCAACGAAAAGACTGTGACAGTGTGGCGTGTGTCAGGGCGAGGTGGGCCAGCTGAGAACTCCAGGTGAGGAGCCGAGTGAATGCTGTGTGTAGGTGACAAGGAGCCTGAGAGGGCCTCCCCGAGTGTGTGGTTGTGTGTGCAAGAAACTATGGGTGTGACTGAGGCTGGCTCTGTGGGTGGCCACCGTATCAGCTGTGTGGGTGACATCCACAGGGGCTGCGCCACACAGGGCGTGGGACACTGCCACGTGTGGTGGGGCCAGGGACCCAGCGCAGGGCATCTGTGTGGACCATCACAACAAAGGTAGTGTTAAAAACGAATGCGCCCAACTGCACACAGAAAAATGGCAAATTTTATATATGTGTATTTTACCACAGTATAAGAAAACAAAACAAGGAAGAAGCCGGGAAAGAGAGAGGTGCAGGGTGGCGGCTGTGGCCTCACGTGGGACAGGGCCGGCCACAGGAGCAGCGCAGAGGAGTGTGTCCATAGAGGACACTGACCATGTGGTGGGCAGAGTGGCCTGAGTGGCTGGTGGCAGCGCAGTGGTGACCAGGGGACCTGGGGGCCTGAGATGGTGCCATCAGCATGTTAATTAAGAGCTGAGGCCCCAGCCTGTCCCCTGGGGACTGGGGACACAGACCCCTCCCCAGAGTGGGACTGGAGGGCAGCAGAGCAGACCCTCGGAGAGAGGTCCTGACCCCTGCCCCAGGAGCAGACCCCCACTGCTCCCCAAGAAAGCCCTGGCCAAGTGGTGGGCGGAGGGGCCTGAGTGGATTCCCGGATTGGAAGCACATTAATGAGCGGAGTGGGAGGCGCCCCCCTCAGCCCGTGGGCTCTGCAAATTGCTTCCTCCTGTAGAAATCTCCGTCCCCCTCAGCAGAGGTCCTCCTCCCCAGCCTGGCAGGGTGTGGCCACTTGACAGCCGCCCCCCACCCCCCGTCCTTGGGCTGGAGGTGGGCGAGAGAGACACCATCCCCACCCCCTCTCTAGTCCAGACTGCGCTGACCCCAGTGTGGCCACTTCCAGGGTGGGAGCCTCTGGCAGCTGGGGAACAGCTGGCCCACGGCGGGGCAGGCGGAGCGGGGGAGGCTGAGGGGGTGGGGAGGCTGCGGGCTTCCTCCTTCCCCATCCTTCCCCCCATGGCTCAGCGCCCCAGGGCAGGCCCGGGATCCCCAAGGGACTGTGGGGTTCTCTGTCTTCCTGCCACCTTGAGCAGGACCGTCTCAAGGCCAGAGTGTCTGGCTGATCCCTGCAGGGGCAGGTGGCAGCTGCCCGCTGGGCCCGGAAGACCCAGTTGATTCAGCTTTGGCTCCCCACGGGGCTGGGAGGTGCCCACCTGCCAAGCCGCCTTGTCCCGTCCCCCACCGGGGTAGCTGCTCAGAAGGACCCCACACTTCAGGCTGGCGCCCTGTCCCCCTCAAAAGGGAGCCCTGGGGCTGGGTGTTCTGAAGTTCTGGGCCACTGCGGTCTGGGGGCCCAGGGCCTCTGTAGCAGCCCCCAACTCTGGCCTCCAGCCTTGGAGCTGTCTGGCCAGTTCTTCCAGAAGATCCGGTCCTGGGGGGCACAGCATGGCACCCCTTATCTCCCCAGGGCTCCCCCACTCTCCCAGCCTCCCTGGCCCCCCATGCTGCCACCACCCGGTGGCACTGCTGACTCCAGGAGGCTGAGGCCTGGGAGCGAGGCTCAGGTGTGGCGGCCGAGGTGGGACAGGTGAGTGGCCAGGCTCCAGAGCGGACGTCCTGTGCAGCTCCCCTCACACCCAGTCTCCCTCGGCTGCTGCCACTCCGTGTCCCTGTCCCCAGCATGCCCTCCTCTGTCCCCTTTGCCCCTAAGCTCATGTGTTGGGTCTCGCTTCTTTGCTGACCTCTCCCTCCTTCTGCCGTCTGTCCTCGGAGCTCCTCCTCTGGCCCTTTCTCCACGGCTGCTCCTGTGTCCTGTGGATTCCCACCGTCTGTCCACCCCTTCTCTCTCTCTGGCCACCCATCCCTTCCTGTCTGTCTCGGCCTCAGTCCCCCGCCCTTCCGTGTGACTTAGCTAGGAAGGTGGGCGCTGCCCAAGCCCCCGACCCAGGCAGCCAGCAACACCCTCCAGATTTCTCAGAGTCGCAAGGTTTGGGGGCTGGAGGTTGGCGCGTGGTGTTGTCACCTCCCCAGGGTGGCAACTCAGGGAGTCCAGCTCCCCCGCCCCTCCTGACTGCTGCTGTCAGAGGCGACCCCATGGCCGGCAGCTGTGATCACCACGTGGGAGCCAGGCTTGGGGACAAATGCAGGGGCAGCGCTGCACGCCTGCGCCGCCGCTGTCGGGAGGCTGCATTTTGGGGGTACCACCTGTGGGCCCTTGTGTGGGCTCCTGTGTCCAAGGGAGCCCTGGAAAGTTGCTGGTGCCGTGCCCGGGTGGCAGGGTCCCCACTTGGCGACGTGACGTCGTGGGCCGGCTCTCCCCTCCCCCTCCCCAGCCGCGCAGTCCCCCTGGCCCGCCCCGCCCCCCAGTCTGT